ATTGTCAGAAATAGCGGAGCTCTCTGCAGTGACACTTTTTGCCGGCTGAACGGGGAAAATTCGATTCGTGCATCCAAAGTTTGCTAAAATTCGGATTCGGTGCGAATCGAATTTTTCCTAATATTCGAAACGAATTCCACTTCGCCAAGTTCGATTCGCTCATCTCTAGTTGTTAACTTAACATACACACCCGCAGCGGTTCGCATGAACGAGGTGCGATTCTGATGCAGTGCGGAATTCGCACTGAAAACGCTGCGAATTCCAGACCGCATTATTGTGAACCCAGGGCTTAAAAGGCAAAGTTTAACCTGCTTAGAGGAGCACTCAGTCTTGTAGGCTGTGGATGTTAAATAAAGGCACAGGCGAGGAAATGAACATTTTTTGGAGATATTTTAAAAATATGATATGCCAAAACCTATGGGAGCAAAGTTGCTATGAATAAAAGGAAACCAACAGGAATGAATAGGAAAGCTTTATACAGGGGAAGGGATACAAAGCAAATAAATACTTGGAGGGTGTATTTATAAAAGATAAAATGCAGAGCGGATCGTCTTGTCAAACTGCATGTACATTCTGTAAAATTGAATGTTATTAGGCTATTTTTGGTCCAGGTCAGATGTTCTTCATTCATAAGAACTGGGTGAATCAGGAAAATACCACATTACGGCCACTAGATGGAGCTGAGGATAACTCTATAGAAGCAAAGTTACTATGCATGAAGGGAAGCCAATATGACTGAATAGGAAAGCTTTATACAGGGGAAGGGATACAAAGCATTTAAATACTTGGAGGGTGTATTTATAAAAGATAAAATGCAGAGCTGATCGTCCTGTCAAACGGCATGTACATTCTGTAAAATTTTATGTTATTAAGCTATTTTTGGTCCAGGTCGGATGTTCTTCATTCATAAGAACAGGGTGAATCAGGAAAATATCACATTACGGCCACTAGATGGAGCTGATGATAACTCTATAGAAGCAAAGTTACTATGCATGAAGGGAAACCAATATGACTGAATAGGAAAGCTTTATACAGGGGAAGGGATACAAAGCATTTAAATACTTAGAGGGGGGGTGTTTTTATATGAGATAAAATACAGAACTGTTCATCCTGTCAAACTGCATGTACATTCTAAAAAATCGAATGTTATTAGGCTATTTTTGGTCCAGATCGTTAATCCATTTTGATCCAGGTTGTTCATTCAAAAGAACAGGGTGAATCAGGAAAATGCCACATTATGGCTACTAGATGGCGCCGACGATAACTCTGTGAAGGCAAAAGTACAAGAAAGCCAATATGATTCAACATGAAAGGTTTTTAAAGGGCAAGGGATACAAAGCATTTAAATACTTGGAGGGTGCATTTATAAAAGATAAAATGCAGAGATGTTCATCCTGTCAAGCTGCATGTAAATTCTATAAAATCGAATCTTATTAACCTATTTTTGGTTCAGGCCCGATGTTCTTCATTCAAAAGAACAGGGTGAATCAGGAAAATACCACATTATGGCCACTAGATGGAGCTGATAACTCTATAGAAGGAAAGTAACTATGCATGAAGGGAAACCAATATGATTGAATTGGAAAGCTTTATATAGGGGAAGGGATACAAAGCAATTAAATACTTGGGGGGGTTTATATAAGATAAAATACAGAGCTGTTTGTCCTGTCAATCTGCATGTACATTCTGTAAAATCTTTGGTCCAGGTCGGATGTTCTCCATTCATAAGAACTGGGTGAATCAGGAAAATATCACATTATGGCTACTAGATGGCGCCGACGATAGCCGAAATATGGAAGCAAAAGTACTACGCAAATAAGAAAGCCAATATGATTCAACAGGAAAAGTTTATAAAGGGCAAGGAATAAAAAGCATTTAAATACTTGGCGGGTGTATTTATAAAATAAAAAATGCAGAGATGTTTGTCCTGTCAAACTACATGTACATACAGCAAAATCAAATGTTATTAGGCTACTTTTAGTCCAGGTCGGATTGTCTTCATTCATAAGGGCAGAGTGAATTGGGAAAATACTGCATTATGGCCACTAGATGGAGCTGACGATAAATAGGTAAAAAAAAAGTATGATCATCAGCTCCATCTAATGGTCCTAATGAGGTAATTTCTGGATTTACCTTATGAATGAAGTACATCTGACCCGGAGAAAAAAAAGCCTAGTGTTTGATTTTGCCACAATTCGCAGTTTTGCAGGACAAGTAGCTCTGCAATTAAAAAGAAAATTAATACAGCCTTTAAAGTGGAATTTTCTATAACGTTACAAGTTTATGGGACTTCATTTCTGACATGTCACAATATTATTGTTCAAGCAAGTGCTACCATTTATCATTAAAACAGAGCTTTGGAGTTCAACTTAATGCTGCCCTCTGTTGAAATTCGGCTGATCCACCAGATGGCACACCTCTTCCGAGTTAATTAAAGACCTGTGTCATTTATACCACTGCCTTTGAGCCCAAGCAGCCATAGTCACACCCACTAGAAATGCATCATACTGCCATCGCTCATGGTATGTTCATACTGAGCAGAGTTCACCCGTCATAATGTGCATACCATTCTGTGCAGGAATAAGGACTGCTGACACCAGAAAAGAAGAACAGACTGATCATGTCACAGGACAGATGACTTTTCCTGGGCTCAGATGATGTTATCTGTCTGCTGCAAGCTGGCGGAAGCAGTTCCCAGACTTCTCTCTCCCAATGATCAGACTGTCCAACATGGAAAAAAAATGTATTTGAAATATATTTTAAAAATAATTCTCCCAAATATATTGCCATATATTTGAAATGCTACAATTTTGGCAATATTCAATATATTTCAAGTTATATTTCAATAAAATATATAAATATATATATTTTTAAAGACATACAGTATATTTGAAATTTATTTTTTTAAATATTTTTCATATATTTCACAATAAAAACACATTCCAACATGCAGTATATAAATAAATATATATATATATATATATATATATATACTGCGTGTTGCAATGTGTTTTTATTGCAAAATATATGAAAAATATTTTTAAAAATACATTGCAAATATACTGTATGTCTTTAAAAATAAAAATCTACATTTTTGGAATGCATTTACAAATATATGTAAAAATATATGTTAAAATTACTTTTATATGTTAAAAAATCTGAAGAATCTATTTTTAAAAAATATATTTTTAAAAAATATATTTTTTAAATATATTCTTCAGATTTGTTTTAACATAAAGTCATTTTAAAAGTCATTTTAACATATATTTTTACATATATTTGTAAATGCATTCCAAAAATGTAGATTTTTATTTTTAAAGACATACAGTATATTTTAAATCTATATATATATATATATATATATATATATATATATATATATATATATATATATAGATAGATAGATAGATAGATAGATAGATAGATAGATAGATAGATACAGTGGGGAACGAAAGTTTGGGCACCCCAGTTAAAAATTTGTATTAATGTGCATAAAGAAGCCAAGGAAAGATGGAAAAATCTCCAAAAGGCATCAAATTACAGATTAGACATTCTTATAATATGTCAACAAAAGTTAGATTTTATTTCCATCATTTACACTTTCAAAATAACAGAAAAAAAAAAATGGCCTCTGCAAAAGTTTGGGCACCCTGCAGAGTTAATATCTTGTACTGCCCCCTTTGGCAAGTATCACAGCTTGTAAACGCTTTTTGTAGGCAGCCAAGAGTCTTTCAATTCTTGTTTGAGGTATGTGAATGTCAGTGTCTTAACATGTGCGTTTTGCTGTGTTGCGGTTTCTAAAATAGTTCTTGCATTACTTTTTCTGCAGTTTTGTTGCGATTTCACATACACAGAATATAATAGAAACCGCACTGCAAATTGCAAGAAATCGTTGAAAATTTTCACAAGTAGCAATAAAGTCTTCAAAAATCACACCTGGCATTGCACACAAATGGCGCAATTTTAAATCGTGGTGTGTGCCCGGTCATACTGGTGCGATCTGGAAATTGAAATCGCACCTGAAATTGCATCTAATGAATGTGAATGTCAGTGTCTCAACATGTGCATTTTGCTGCATTGCTGTTTCTAAAATAGTTCTTGCATTACTTTTTCTGCAGATTTGTTGCGATTTCACATACATAGAATATAATGGAAACCGCACTGCAAATTGCAAGAAATCGTTGAAAATTTTTACAAGTAGCAATAAAGTCTTCAAAAATCGCACTTGATATTGCACACAAATGGCGCAATTGTAAATCGCAGCGCTGTGAACGGTGACTCAGGATTCATGCACTTTTTTTTTTTTAAGCTCCAAAAATGTTGGAAAAAATCCTGGATAAAAACGCTGGTAAATAGTTTTTAGTAGCGTTTTAGTAACGTTTCAGAAGCGTCTAGGAGCATTTAGGAACGTTAGCATTTTATTAGCTTTTTTGCAGTACATATAGAGGGGGGAAAAAGCTGTTAGGAGCATTTTAGTAGCGTTTAGCACTTTTTCTGCTGGAAAAAATCTCCAAAAAAACTCAACAAAACTTTTTTTTTCTGCTCCTTGACACTGAAGCTCTAAAAATGCTAATAACCTAAAGCAGTGTGCATGAACACATAGGAGAACACTATTTAGCTTCAAAAATATAATAGCTTCTAGGAACTTAATAAAATGCTAGTGCGATTTACTAAGCTCCTAAGAGGTTAAACTGGCCATACACTATACAATCTGATTGTACCATCTGCTTTACCATTTGTTCACACCTAAGCATTTTCCACAGCGTTTTTGCAGAAAATCAGTACAGTCCATTTAACATGATTTCCTATGGACACGTTCACATCTCCATCTTTTCACCCGAAGCGTTTTTTGGAAAGGGTCAGGGACTTTTTTGAATGCAAAATGTTGAGTTTTTGGTTCCATAGGGTTCAATGGAAACACTGCAGAAAAGCATGTAGTGTATTTTTGCTGCGTTTCTGCCACGTTTTTGCTGCGTTTTAAGTCTGCCTAGCAACAAGAATAAGGCTAGGGTCGCACCTATGCAGGCTGCGTTTGAGCCGTTTCTGCATTGCGTTTTTGCACTTTTGCTTTTGATGCGCTTTGCCGGGGGGGTTCATTTTTTTAATTATTTTTTCTTGTTGCTAAGCAGATTTAAAATACAAAACGTATCAAAACCGCAATACATGCTTTTCTGCACCGTTTCCATTGCAGTCTATAGAAACAAAAACGCAACATTTTGCGTTTTAACCTCCTTGGCGGTATGGTTCTTTCCGATTTTTTGTGCTGAAAGCGGTACCATTTTTTTGCATGGAAATATGTCGTTTTTTTATTGTAGACTGTAATTTTTAGGAATAACTCACTGAAATCTGTCCGAACAAGAGTCTAGTAAACATTCCGGATATGATAAAATTTGAAACACGAAATCATAAATTATAATTTAATAAATAATCATAAAAAAAATAATAATATAATAATAATACATTTAATTCAATAATATAATCAAACCAAAAACACTGAAATTTGAAATACAGAGGCAAATTCGCAAATCGCTGAGCAAAGTTGCAAAATCGTTTTCAGTGTCTGATGACGAATTTCCCCCCAAAATCATTATCACTCAATTCTGCAAGTGGTTCTGATTTACTTATTATTATCTTATTTACGTAAAGGGACACTTTTTGGACGCCATGGACTTTTCTAAGTTTCCAGGCAGAAAGAACGGTCAAAATGCAGGCAGGTGCAGAACAAAGCAGTAGGGACAAAATGTATGCGAAATGCATTTGAAACAGCAATGACAGCAAAAATGACATTTTTTAAAAATTTCAAATTTGCCGCCGGTTCCGGCGCCCGTATGTCCCGCCGTCACAGGGACCGGAACACAGAAGCCGGATGCTGGCATCGGCCGGAGGAGATGGCCGGGGACGCTGCAGGGGACACATCGCGGGAGCGAAGGACGAGGTAAGTGCTGCAGGGACCCCCAGAGCAGCGCCGCATGGTAAGCCCAAGTGTAGCTCGGGGTTACCGCTTGTGGTACTGAAATTTTACCCCGAGCTACACTCGGGAAAACCGCTAAGGAGGTTAAAAAAAGTCCCTGACCCTTTCCAAAAAATGCACTGGGTGAAAATGCGCAAATGTGAGCATGTCCCATGGGAAATCCTGTTAAATGGACTGTACTGTGTTTCTGCAAACCGCTGCAGAGAAGGCTTAGGTGTGAACCTAGGGTAAAAACAAAACAAAAAAAGGTGGCAAAAATGCAAGAAGTGTAAGTATCTGAATCTGACTTGGTATCAGCCTCTGGCAGTCCCTGTACAGCAGAGATCATACTGGGAGAAGGAGAAGCAGCATAATGACCCATCAGCTGTGCTACAGTGAATCTGACTTGGTATCAGCCTCTGGCAGTCCCTGTACAGCAGAAATCATACTGGGTGAAGGAGAAGCAGCATAATGACCCATCAGCTGTGCTACAGTGCAAGGAACATGCTGATAGGAGAAGAGAGCGGAGTGACTGATAAAGGAGATCATCAGTCTGCAGCTTCTCCTTCCGCTGTAAAGTCACAGGCTGAGGATGAAGAGGAGATCTGTAAATGCTACTGAACTGAAGCAGAGAAAAATTAGGTTTCCACCCCTGACGGACAGGGCTGTGCTGCTTGGAGAAGCTGTGTAACCCCAGGCTCACACCTAAGCGTTTTTCCACATCGTTTTGAAGAAACGCACTACAGTCCATTTAACATGATTTCCTATGGGACAGGTTCACATCTCCGCGTTTTCACTTGATGCATTTTTTGGAAAGGGTCAGGGACTTTTTTAAATGCAAAAGGTTGCGCTTTTGGTTCTACGGACTTCAATGGAAATGCTGCAGAAAGCATGTAGTTTTTGCAGCGTTTTTTATGTGTTTTTGATGCGTTTTGTGTTTTTAAACCTGCCTATCAACATGAAAAAAATTATAAAAACCTGCAAAACGCATCAAAAACATGGCAAAAACGCACTGCAGAAACAGATAAAACGCAAACAGCATAGGTGTGAACCGAGCCTTAGAACACTATGCAGTAGGAGGACACACCTGGACAATCCATTCAACTTGTATCCAATCAGGCAGGCCAGTGCATGGCATAGATCTAAAGGAGATTGTACAACCAGATTGTATAGTGTATGGTCACCTTTCTACAGAATTTTTTTTTTTTTTTCCCCCTGGCATACACTTTAAGCCTCACATTACCATTTCCATGAACAAGTCTGGATTTGAGAAAGTTTCCTTTTTTTTTTTTTTGCACAAATATGGGTCAGGCTGTGTTCTATTCATCCACACTGACATGTGACAGGCGGAAGGGCTCTGTTAAAAGCCGTCTTGTTGGCGTCTTTTTCTGGGTTAAGGCAGCGCTGTGTCTGGAGAGGATCATGTATTAAACATGCCATGACTCCGAGCTCCCAGCACGCTCCGGTCCGGGGAGGGACTTCTGTCCTCCTAAAGTATGTCACTGAACCGCTTGGAAGGACAGCAACAGACTTCAACTAAATTCGACATGCAGGCTTGTGCTATTTTGGGCGCAGGGGTGGGTGACAACACGAAGGGGGCGCCTGCGATGAAACCACCACACTGAGCTGGAAAAAAAAAATGGATGGGACTAAACCTGCTTTCCATTATCATTCCACATCTGCACAGCGATAGAATTAGGGGCAGGGGGTGATCGTTCACGTCTATACAATATAGAGCGGGGACGGGAAACCATCATTAGGGGCTCAGCGGGAGTGACGGGGGCTCATATACAGGGACCTTGCCACTGGAGCCGGCTTGTAATACATACCGCCGACTGCTACTAAAAATAAAAATATCTGTCTTGGACCCCCACTGGGGAATTCACTACGGCAATTACGACAGTCTTCTGGTGGCGGATCCCTTAGGCTACTTTCACTCTGATCTGTCGCAGAACCACAGCAAAAACGCATAGGCGTATTTACCGTGCTTTTTGCCACGCTTTCTGATCGTCTTTTTAAAGGACACATGACCAAAAAACGCTTATCAGAGGCATTTTAGGCATTTTCCATTGATTTCAATAGGAAGAGGCGTTTTTGGGGGTGTTTTTTTTATTCCCCAAACATGCCCCAAAGATGCTTCAAGCAGGAGATTTTACATTGCACCGGTTGTAAAAGACTCCAGAGAGAGAGATATCATTTTCCCCCGGTACAAATCATTAGTAAGACCTCATCTGGAATATGCAGTTCAGTTTTGGGCACCAATTCACAAAAAGAACATTGGGGAACTGGAGAAAGTACAGAGAAAGGCAACCAAACTGATAAGAGGCATGGAGGAGCTCAGCTATGAGGAACGATTAGAGGAACTGAATTTATTCTCTCTTGAGAAGAGGAGATTAAGGGGGGGATATGATCACCATGTATAATACAAAGGGGGGATATGATATCAACATGTATAATACATAAGGGGGGATATGATCTCCATGTATAATACATAAGGGGGGATATGATCTCCATGTATAATACATAAGGGGGATATGATCTCCCATGTATAATACATAAGGGGGGATATGATCTCCATGTAAAATACATAAGGGGGGGATATGATCTCCATGTATAATACATAAGGGGGGATATGATCTCCATGTATAATACATAAGGGGGGATATGATCTCCATGTAATAATACATAAGGGGGATATGATCTCCATGTATAATACATAAGGGGGGGATATGATCTCCATGTATAATACATAAGGGGGGATATGATCTCCATGTATAATACATAAGGGGGGATATGATCTCCATGTATAATACATAAGGGGGGATATGATCTCCATGTATAATACATAAGGGGGGATATGATCTCCATGTATAATACATAAGGGGGGATATGATCTCCATGTATATAATACATAAGGGGGGGGATATGATCTCCATGTATAATACATAAGGGGGGATATGATCTCCATGTATAATACATAAGGGGGGATATGATCTCCATGTATAATACATAAGGGGGGGATATGATCTCCATGTATAATACATAAGGGGGGATATGATCTCCATGTATAATACATAAGGGGGGATATGATCTCCATGTATAATACATAAGGGGGGATATGATCTCCATGTATAATACATAAGGGGGGATATGATCTCCATGTATAATACATAAGGGGGGATATGATCTCCATGTATAATACATAAGGGGGGATATGATCTCCATGTATAATACATAAGGGGGGATATGATCTCCATGTATAATACATAAGGGGGATATGATCTCCATGTATAATACATAAGGGGGGATATGATCTCCATGTATAATACATAAGGGGGGATATGATCTCCATGTATAATACATAAGGGGGGATATGATCTCCATGTATAATACATAAGGGGGATATGATCCATGAGTATAATACATAAGGGGGGATATGAAATATAATACATAAGGGGGGATATGATCTCCATGTATAATACATAAGGGGGGATATGATCTCCATGTATAATACATAGGGGGGGATATGATCACCATGTATAATACATAAGGGGGGATATGATCTCCATGTATAATACATAAGGGGGGATATGATCACCATGTATAATACATAAGGGGGGATATGATATGATCTCCATGTATAATACATAAGGGGGGGGATATGATCTCCATGTAATAATACATAGGGGGGGGATATGATCTCCATGTATAATACATAAGGGGGGATATGATCTCCATGTATAATACATAAGGGGGGATATGATCTCCATGTATAATACATAAGGGGGGATATGATCTCCATGTATAATACATAAGGGGGATATGATCTCCATGTATAATACATAAGGGGGGATATGATCTCCATGTATAATACATAAGGGGGATATGATCTCCATGTATATAATACATAAGGGGATATGATCTCCATGTATAATACATAAGGGGGGAAATATGATCTCCATGTATAATACATAAGGGGGGGATATGATCTCCATGTATAATACATAAGGGGGGGATATGATCTCCATGTATAATACATAAGGGGGGATATGATCTCCATGTATAATACATAAGGGGGGATATGATCTCCATGTATAATACATAAGGGGGATATGATCTCCATGTATAATACATAAGGGGGGATATGATCTCCATGTATAATACATAAGGGGGGATATGATCACCATGTATAATACATAAGGGGGGATATGATCACCATGTATAATACATAAGATGGATATGATCTCCATGTATAATACATAAGATAGGGATATGATCTCCATGTATAATACATAAGGGGGGATATGATCTCCATGTATAATACATAAGGGGGGATATGATCTCCATGTATAATACATAAGGGGGGATATGATCAACATGTAAATAATACATCAGTGGTTCATATAGTGAACTTGGTGTAGAGTTATTCACCCTGAGGTCATCACAGAGGACAAGGGGGCACTCTTTATGTCTGGAGGAAAAGAGATTTTAATCTCCAAACACAGAAAGGTTTCTTCACAGTGAGAGCTGTGAAAATGTGGAATAGACTCCCTCAAGAGTTAGTTCTGGCCAGCTCAGTGGATTGCTTCAAAAAAGTCCTGGATTCTTTCTTAGATACACAGAATATAACTGGATACTAACATTTATAGGTAAAGTTGATCCAGGGAATATCCGATTGCCTCTCGGGGGATCAGGAAGGAGTTTTTTTTCCCCTGCAGGATCATGCTTTGCTGTTTTTTTTTTTTTTTTGCCTTCTTGTGGATCAACTGTGGGTATAGGATTATAACTTTTTTTTTTTTTTTTTGGTTGAACTGGATGGACTTTTTTTCTTTTTTCAGTTGGACTAACTAATTAACTACTGTACTTTTGCATTTCTTGCCTAGGCAAGAATGATGTCGAGGACCCCTTCCCCCCCCCCCCAGATTCTGCACATTCAGAGAAGTTCCGCAGGACTTTGGGTCCCAAAAGCCATACCTCCCAACTGTACCTGATTTCGAAGGACTGTCCCTGATTTGGAAGTCCCTCTGTCCCTCCTTCCTCCTCATTTGTCCCTCTTTCTGGTCTGATCTATAAAGTTGTATAGAAAATACCCTATTTACCTTTCAAAAAGTGTTTCCCAGTGCTAAACCTTTCATCCAATGTCTAAATTGTTGCATTTGTGAATTTCAAAAGCCAATATAAAAGAACCACACTGATGTATTTA